ATCGGCGGCTTTGTGGCATGCTCAGGAGACAAATGCCGAACGGGCCAGTGTGCAAGCGCACACTGCCCGTTCAGCATTGCAGTCATCGGAAGCCCGCCCCTCAGGGCGGCGGGCTTTCGATGATCGCAAGTACGATCTGCCTGTCCAAGATGGGCAGATCGTACAAGCTTTTAATTAGCTTACAACCATCGCAAGACTTTTGTAAGGTGTATGGGCATCTTAAGTCACAACAGTAGTGCAAGCTTAAATGTTTGCACACAACACCTAAAACCGACAGCGTCCTAGCAACCAATGATGGTGTGCTCCCGGCAGTGTCCTAGTAACCAGTAAGAGGGAAGGGGGTGGAGCACACATTATTTCCTTTACCCAACTGTGAAATTTTGGATTTCCCAAACTTTCTGTCTCAGTGACAAGGATTATCAGGACAATTAGAGAGGATGAATCTACACAGCATGGACGTGGACAGAAATAAAACCTGAGTTGCTTGACTAATCCTCCCCTCCTCCATACTAAACTTAAAGTGTATGTATGTACAGTTTGTATGTATGTATGTATGTATATCTGTATGTATGTATACATACACTTGAAATGTACCTCCATTTTAACAAAGAAAACCCAGCTAAAGCTCCTCGCCACCCATGACACCCTTTTCAACCCCCCCATTTAAAAAAATATACATACATGACTTATTTCAAGGGTCTTCTTTACGTTTTGAAGATGTTGCCCCTACTCTCCCCCTAATGACAGGCGGTCCTTACTGTTGCACTGAACAGGTCATTATTTGAGCATGCTGCAGTGTGATGAAGACTGGTGACATCTAGTGGCACAAATGAATTACTGCAAGGACAGATTTGGATTTCAGATGAGTATTAGAGCAAGCTTTAGCTGTGCTAATTGTTTCTTGTTGTTACCTGGACTTCTGCTTTAAAGAAGAACTATGGGCTACCCCCACACTGCAAGGGCTAAGTGCTCATTTTCTCTAGGGAGCTAAAATAATAGAGATATACTCACCCGAACCATAATCCTGGCCGACTCCTAGACCGGTCCCTTCACCTTGTCTCTTCCTCCAGCAATGAAATGCCCCTTGGCATCCTCACGTCCTATACACCGCATAGAATGTGATGACTCACAGGACCTTAGACCGCAGGAGCTGAAGGGACCGTTCTAGCAACCAGCGGGGATTGTGGTTCGGGTGAGTATAACTACTTTTTTAGCTGCGTAGGCAAAATGAGCAACTAACACTTGCAGTGCTTGCAGTAGCCCCACTGCAAGGCTTCAAATTTTATTTGCCCGGAGTTGTTCTTTAAGCTTAATTAAAAGAGGCAAACATAAAGAGAGTTCCCAGCTTGACACGGCGTCCATGGCTGTTATGAGCGTATTTCTGTCAGCCTCATTCATGGTGCATTATAACTGCCAAATGGCTCAGAGTTGGAAACGTTGGAAACTTTGTGGCAATTTCAACACCGGTCCCTGGGAGATAAAAGAAGCTAATTGGTGGCTGCATAGCTAGAATCTATAAAGAATTCCAATGTAAGATTTTGAGTGGACTGAGCCTTTAATGCTAAAATCTAATCAGCTGCAGCTTGTAAATTCAAAGGCGTCTAATAAGAAAGTTGGACTTGTCAGCTTGTTCTGTTGGTTTCTGTAGCTTAAAGACACTACAGGAATCCTAAACCACGCTGGGTTTAATTAGTCTCAAAAAACAAGAAACGACAGTAACATATATTGTGCATGGAGAGGAAAATACAATTAGATGGCTTCCACTGAGGAAAATAAAGCACCAGGCTCACAAACATCACATTGAGTTCAAGGTAATAAATATACACTGAAGAAAAATTAAATAATTGGACAGGCATGGCATAACACAACATTATGATTTTTTACTAAGCCCTGTTCAAACGAATGTCTTTTCCATAGATAGATTAAAGCTAAAGCCCAGGATGTGAGGGCAAGTGTTGGCGCCACTCCTCACAGATCGGATTTTACATTAGACACCACAGGTCTGTGCCTATAGGCAGCAGAGGCAAAGAGTTCTCTGTATACCTTTTGGTCACACATTTCATCTTATTGTCAACAACAGTCATCTTATATACATTGTAACAATATCCTAAACCAGGCTCAGAAAGCAAGACAATGTTCTGTTTCAAAGGAAGTGTATTTAGCACAGGGTTGCTACTTTGCATGCCAAAGGTTGTGTGCCTACAAGCTTCAGTAAGACCTGGTTCACACCTAGGCGGCATCGTTTTTGCAAGTGCAGGGTTTAGCATGTGGTTATTTGCACATTTATGTGCGTTTGGGACATTTTTACGTGTGTTCTGACAATGAAACTGTCACACGTCAGCTCTATTGATCGGAAAGTGAGCGAACAGATACCGTCGCTCACTCACTTTGCGATCACCTCCCTGTCAGTCACCGCTCCCCGCAGGGATTCCCCCCCTACCTTCTCTGATCCTCCAGCCAGCGCTTACTGGAGGAACGGACAGGGAGGGGGCGGGCACAGGTGTCAATAAGCTAGCTGGGTGGATCTCGACAGTATTGTCAGGATCCGTCCCGGCTGCTGCTGTAGCTTGTTATTAACTGAGCTTTTGGTCACGGGAGGATGTTATTATATGTCCTCTAGTTACCGTGAAGAGAACTATGGGATAAAAAGTTTACCCCATAGTTCTCTTTTAAGAAACATTGTGCAATGTGCTTCTATCATGCGTTTTCTGGTGTTTCCATTAAAGCCTATGGGGGGGAGGAAACAAGCTTGAAACCGCCAAATAAGCTCATGTACTTTTTTCTGCGTTTGGCTTTTTCCTGCTGGCGTTTTGCTGCTCAGGTGTGAACAGGTGTCATTGAAAATCATGGCAATTCTTGTGTTGGACGTTTAAAAGCACTTTTCCTAATTGTCAAAAATGCCTAGGTGTGAACCAAGTCTAAAGGAAATCCTGGTCTTTTGTAGCAGTGTGGCAGCAGGAGTCATGATGCTAATATATTGTACAATACTATATCTTGTGTCTTTGCAACATGGTGGTAGACAGCACTTTCAAAGAAAAAACTAGCAAATGTGAATGTGACCTAGCATGACTCGCATGTCCAACGCATTATGCCATTTATAAGTAGACCAAAACCGTTAAGCGGCCTCATATTTCTGTCACTCCCTTCAACAAAACGGCACCTAGGTACAATATGCCCTACTGAGCCATTTTGTTGAGGGCCATCCAGCATTGCTGTTCTCAGCTAAATAGAGTATATGGGGCTTTTATTAGGGGGATTGCTTCACTCTACAGTATATGCTGTGTTGTATGTTACATACTTTCAATTGCTGTACTATATATGTTATATATTACATACTCTGGCAAACTGTACTCTGCTCATCACCATATACATTACATACTATAGACCAGTGGTTCTCAACCTGTATAACCTCAGGACCCACATTTGTCCTTGGTCATTAAATCGCGACCCAAGTTGCACCGCACTGGAAGGCACGGGATGTTCCGGTGCAATCGATCAAACTGTATGCTGGAGATGTGTTTGAGGTGCCATTCAAATGAGTTCCAACGCACCTCCCGCACCAGAATGAACCGTAGGTGCAATTGTGTGGTAGTTTGCGATTACACTGACAGACACACACATCCACAGACACAATCTCACACACTCACAGACATTCTTACACACACACACTCCTAAAACTGTTTTAGGAGTCCAGTGTGGGCTACTTTGCTTTGGAGCTCCATCCATATGTGCATCTCTTGTACTGCTCCCTTGCACTCCCTGCAGAGGTGCTGGGAGCCAGAATGTGGTGTCACGCAAGGAGCTGTAAGCAATGCATGAATGGATGGGGCTCCCTCAAAGCCATATCTCCAGCCCACCCCACCTCAAGCTGACACTAGGTGCCGGGCCGCATAACTTGAATAGCTGCTTGGCATGAGAACAGACAGTGCTGCGCCATGGGGGAGGCCGAAGCCTCTTGCCTAGTGCAGTGGAAGGCATGCGTTGACCCACTGAACATGGGGTCACTTTTGGGTCATGACCCACCAGTTGAGAACCTCGGCTCTAGACCATTTTATTGTGAACAAGATCATTTCATCACCCACTGCAGTCCGCAGCACTCTGTAAGATATTATATGTATTGTTTTATATCACATTGTCTGGACTCCTGCATTCTATATGCTGTATACAGTATTACATACTCTGGACCCTAAATTCTGTATGCCAAGCTAAACACTAGTTGACTGATTTATAAAGCATTTTCGCAGTGCATAGCTGTGTGGAGTAGCTGTACCAAATACATTTTTAAAAAACACTTATTAAACCAGGTATCATTTATTACAAGTAATTCAATGTATTTTGCACAGAACTTACATAAACACCTAAATCTGTCCTGATATTAGCCCATTGTAAGTCCCTGAATGGTAGCACTCATCTAGAGATCTAGAGAGGAAGGGGCAGCACTCTTTTTCATTCATTCTATTATTTTGTAGAATGCTGTCAGTCACCTGTTTTAACACCAGTTCCCTGCTTCTCCTCTGTTGTCCAATCAAAGGCTGGGGGCAGACGACCAATAATTATTGCTTAACGGCAGTAGAGAGAAATTAGGTCAGCGAACTAACTATGTTGCTTGCCAGGTGTGTCTGGATTGCATAACTAGCTGAAAACATTTACAAATGCTGAAAACACTTCATGTATATGTATTGCAACTGTGCATTAAGCTGTTTGCCTGCAGATCAGCTCTAAGTGGCTTACATTATGTATAAACCAAGGACAGGCAGGAAAATCCTAATCGATGGTAGCAACACAAAAGGCTTCAGGCAAGAGAGGATGGGGGAAATTCTACCTTGGGGCATTTTGCCTCCAGGCTCCATAGTGACTAAGTAGGTTGCTATCGCAATGTTTTCAGCCAAGGCATCCGAACATTTTAAAAATAATACAGAATAGCATTGTATATCCTTACAGTCAGATTGCATGTCATATTGAAGCAATACAATACAATTTATGACATTTCTGCTCCTCACCTTTGAACTGTTATGCTGACACCTGTGAGTTCCCGAAAACCATCCGTCACTGGAGCACTGGTCAATGTCTATTTTTTGCAAGTTCACGTCCACTTTAAGCACTCCCCTGGACAACAAAAAGAAAAAGTATTTCAAGAGAACCAGTCTGCCTTTTATAAATAATGTTTTCTATAAGATAAGGTATACATTTAATCACTGTATGCCACTGTTTGACTGGAGTTTAGCTTTAAAGAGACACTAAAGTCAGGAGTAAAAATCTTAAAAATACATTCAAGTACCTTAACTATTAACATAAATGTATCTTATTTGTGTATCACTCGGCTGTAGATCCTCAAATCATCTCTGAATTGGTGCTGATGCTGTCCTTCCTTCTGGAGGGTGGCTAATTTTGTGCCCCATGGTCCCTGTGTGTGTTGTAAAGTAGTCACCGCTCCAAGCGATGGACTACAATCTCAAAACAAATTAGTAACTAAACCTGAGATTATAGTCCATCACAGAAGCGAGCTTTGAGTGGTGGCTATTTTACAACACACACATCAAGATTCCCCCCTTCATATCAAGATTCCCCCCTTTACATCAGAGTCACCCTTTGCATCAGTAGCCCCCCCTTTACATCAGTCTTCATTGTCCCCTTAGTATCACAGTCCCACTACCCCAAAATTTTAAGGCAACACAGAGGAGGCCAGGAGGCACAGCAGTGAGCCAAGGCACTGCGGTTGCGGTCCTACAATGCTCTGAAACGTCTTGGTGTTGTAATTGTTTCAGTTTAGTTTACCGCTCAACTCTAGATAACTTTTGCAAATTTTTAGCATCTTATAAAAAGGATAATGACAGCATCTGCATGAAACCTGACACGTGAACACGTGAACTAAGACTCTGTTCTCTGATGGAACTTAGGCTCCCTTATATTAAATTTTCACAAACTAAAATACTCAAGTTGCCATGGGGACTGACAATAAGCTGCATCATTACACAGTGGATGATAGAAGTTACTTTATCCCCGACTTGTCAGGAGATTCATCATTCTCTCTCTTTTTAATCTTGCAAACATGTTATAATTATATAACACCAGACACTTTTCAGAACTATTCAGCCTAGAAAATGTTTAAAGTACAGCAGAAGTTTGATTAGCTGTATGTGATGCTAGCAAATGTGGTAGAAACACTCTCCTTAGTACTGAACCGGTGTGGAATTTTCTTATATCATATTTAGTGTGCTGGGGGCAGGATACAGGGGAGACCAATGTGTGTGCTTGAAGAATGATAGAGAGGAGACCAATGTGTGTGCTTGGAGAAGGATACAGAGGAGACCAATGTGTATGATGGGGTCTGGATACAGGGGAAACATCAATGTGTGCTGGGGCAGGATACTGGAACAAGACCAATGTGTGGACTGTGAGCAGGATACAATGGTGAGATCAATATACTGTATGTGCTGGAGAAAAGACCAATGTCTGTTTTGTGGACAGGATACAGGGACAAGACTACTATGTCTGTTCCAGGCAGGATACAGGGAAAAGACCAATGCATGTGCTGGGGGCAGGATATTGGGGAAGACCAATGTGTACACTGAGGGTGGGATGTCACTAGTTGAAAATGCTTTGCTAGATTGTAGTTTCCAAACATAAACTACAAATAGTAAGTGCTGAGAGCACCATACTAGTAACGACGCTGGGACTCATGGAAAAAGGAACCATGCAATAAGTGATTTTCAATTGCAGTCTCAGGTTTTAAAGATTTGTGCTCCCTAATGGCTCCCTATTTTTTTTACATGACATTATAATACTGGTATTTTTTATAAATATTGGATTCTCATAACCCCTTAACATTGTCTTGTTTTTATAACCTGAAAGTCAACTCTACCCAAAGATTTGGGTTTCGATTTAGTGAACAGAAACACTTGACGGTTTCTTGGAAACCCTAATAGTGATATTGCCTAGCAGTAGATTGTGTGTCTTGTAGACTTGATCCCAAATTTCGGATGGCGTTAAGTTTGGACTGAGTTTCATGGATTCAGATGGCCAAATTCACATTCACATTTCAGTGTTATTTTTGGTAGTTAGGATTTCCAAAAGGCTTCTGGGTGAAATGGAACAAAGGCTGATTCAAAGGCTCTTTTTTCCTTATATCTGTTTCTGCTATTGCCAGAGCATGCTTAGCTTGACTGCCAGTGCCACCAGGTCCAACCCGTCTATCTTAGTATGAAAGGCAGAATATTTAAAGCCTCAGGTTGTTTTTTTGCCCCATCATCTCATCAGGGCTACCAGGAGCTTCTGAAAACAGGCTGCACAATTTTGCATCATATGGTACTCTTTAATAAACAGTTATTGAGCTCCAGGTGCAGAATATTAAATTTCAGAGGTTCTCTAATTTCCTAAACGCTCAGATGACATCACAACTGGCAGAATAATAATTAGATGTTCAGGGGAAAGATAAACAAAAAAATCATCATCAGGCATCATTCTGTTGTAGATATCTTGGCATTGAATTACCCATAAGACAAGGTTTTTGATGTTTTCTCTTTTTGTAGTCAGTGCTACTGGCTCCTAAAAAAGTACCTGCTGGCTCCTGGACTGAACAGACTGACACCTAAATTCCATATTATTTTTGTCCATTCCTGCTAAGATAAAGCTAACCAGATTTGACTCAACACCTACTACGCTAAAAAAAAAAGAAGTTTTTGTGTAGAAAGCCTTTAGAAGTATAAATTGTCATGCAAACAAATTACTGTTAAAGTAACACCAAACTCAGGGGTTAAATCCTAAAAATGTATTTAAGCACCGTAACTATTAATAGAAATGTACCCTATTTGTGTATCACTTAACTATAGATCGTTAAATCATCTCTGATTTTGTCCTGACACTGTCCTTCCTTCTGGAGGGTGGCCACTTTTGTTCTTCATGGTTCCTCTGTGTGTTGTAAAGATGCCACCGCTCCAAGCTCACTCCCTTGATAGACTACAATCTCAAAAGTTTAGGTTACTAATTTGTGTTGAGATTGTAGTCATCACGGGACTGAGCTTGGAGCGGTGGCTACTTTTCAACACACGCAGGGACCATGGGGAACAAAAGTAGCCCCCTCCAGAAGGACAGTGTCAGCACCAATGCAGAGATGATTTGAGGATGTACAACTACCGTATATACTCGAGTATAAGCCGTCCCGAATATAAGCAGAGGTACCTAATTTTAGCAAAAAAAACTGGGAAAAAGTATTGACCCGAATATAAGCCGAGGGTGGGAAATGAGGCAGCTACTGGTAGATAGATACCAATAAAATTACATTAATATTTATTTAAAAGAAAAATAACCTAGCTCTGTAAGTGGAAAAGGGGGTACAGGGCTACATATCATGTACTACGGATCATTTAACCCATTCATATTAGCAGAGGATAATTGTAAATCTATTGTTCAGTGCACTCTATATGTAGTATATAGTACATGTACATATAGAGTGCCTGCAACAATACATTTACAATGATCCTCTGCTAACATGAATGGGTTAAATGATCCATAGTACAGGGCTACATACAGATCATTTAATACATTCATGTTAGTATAATTGTAAATGTATTGTCTGCACTGTATTAGCAGTATATACTCTATATAGAGTATATACTGCTAATACAGTGCAGACAATACATTTACAATTATACTAACATGAATGTATTAAATGATCTGTATGTAGCCCTGTACTATGGATCATTTAACCCATTCATGTTAGCAGAGGATCATTGTAAATGTATTGTTGCAGGCACTCTATATGTACATGTACTATATACTACATATAGAGTGCACTGAACAATAGATTTACAATTATCCTCTGCTAATATGAATGGGTTAAATGATCCGTAGTACATGATATGTAGCCCTGTACCCCCTTTTCCACTTACAGAGCTAGGTTATTTTTCTTTTAAATAAATATTAATGTAATTTTATTGGTATCTATCTACCAGTAGCTGCCTCATTTCCCACCCTCGGCTTATATTCGGGTCAATACTTTTTCCCAGTTTTTTTTGCTAAAATTAGGTACCTCTGCTTATATTCGGGACGGCTTATACTCGAGTATATACGGTACATGATGCACAAATAAAGTACAATTTTATTCATAGTTAGGATACTTGGACACATTTTTAAGATGCAACTCCTGAGTCACTTTATTGTCTCAAACATAGCATAACTGAGTATACAGTTTTCTTTGGTCTTGTACTCTGTATGATGAGCTTAAATATAGGACGCTGCATCTTATCACACGCCATTCCTCTGTAAGCAATTTTCCTTTTAGCTCTATGTATGACACAGTTATATTTTATGTTAGGTGTTAGGAACCATGCAGGTGAAAAGATTTACAGTCTGAACTAAGAGCGTCACTAATTAAGTTTGGCCCCTTCACAAAAGTTATAGATGGTTATGTAAATGCCTGTGCAGTTGAGGCCACTGGCTCTTTATTTTCAAACATTAGAAATCTGCTGCTAAAAAGATCACACATGAAGACACCAGTTGGCTATAAATATTGCACAGTATTAATCAGTAGTTATCCATAGGATCCAATCAGATTTCACAGTTCAGCAGTTTGTCAGAACAATGAAATATGAATTCTGATAGGCTGCCCTTGGTGACTCAACTTTGCTACAGTAGCCCTAGGTCAGTGGTTCTCAACCTTTCTAGGGCCGGGACCCCTTGGTAACATTTGGCAAGTTGTGGTGACCCCCAACGGTAAAATTTAGGGATGACCCGGCTGCTGCAGCGACATCTGGCGGTGTGGTGGGAGAACTGACACTGCTGCGCTAGGAGAGGGCTGAGGAGGACTCTCACCTACGGTAGCACAGCAGAAATCACACAGCGACCCACAGGTTGAGAACCACTGCCCTAGGTGAACACTACTACCAGCTACAATAAAACCTGGAAAAGTCTGACACACTGTAGAAAATTGACAGTGGGGCTATTCCGGTCTCTCTTTTGGCTCCTGCTGCAGAAGTAACATCTTGTATGTGCACTTTCATTTCCAGCCTACTGATTCATGACTGGCTGTTGAACTCTGCAGGGTAGTACATACCAGTTTCAGTAAAAAGGCTGATCAAAATGGATCAAACACCCTGCTAGTCTTGTGC